GGCATGCAGTAAGTAGAGGAAGAAATAAATGCATCAAAGATTAAAAACAAACAAACATCCTGTGGCTCAGAGGAAAAACAACAACAACAACAAAAATAAAACAAAACAAAAAAAAACAAACAAAAAAAAACAAGCTGGGTACGGTGGCTCACTTCTGTAATCCCAGCACTTTGGGAGGCCAAGGCAGGCGGATGATGAGGTCAGGAGATCAAGACAGTCCTGGCTAACGTGGTGAAACCCCATCTCGATTAAAAATACAAAAAATTAGCTGGGAGTGGTAGCGCGCGCCTGTAATCCCAGCTACTCAGGAGGCTGAGGCAGGAGAATCGCTTGAATCTGGGAGGCAGAGATTGCAATGAGCCGAGATCGTGCCACTGCACTCCAGCCTGGGTGACAGAGTGAGACTCCATCTCAAAAAAAATAAATAAAAATAGGATGGGCACGGTGGCTCACGCCTGTAATCCCAGCACTTTGGGACGCCAAGCTGGGCGAATCATGAGGTCAGGAGTTCAAGACCAGCCTGGCCAACATAGTGAAACCCAGTCTCTACTAAAAATACAAAAATTAGCCGGGCGTGGGGGCACACACCTGTAATCCCAGCTACTCGGGAGGCTGAGGCAGGAGAATCACTTGAACCTGGGAGACAGAGGTTGCAGTAAGCGGAGATCACACCACTGCACTTCAGCCTGGGCGACAGTGCGAGACTCTGTCTCATAAGTAAGTAAGTAAATAAATAAATAAATACCCAAAACAAAAAAAGAGTAATCGGCCGGGCGTGGTGGCTCAAGCCTGTAATCCCAGCACTTTGGGAGGCCGAGACGGGCGGATCACGAGGTCAGGAGATCGAGACCATCCTGGCTAACATGGTGAAACCCCGTCTCTACTAAAAAATACAAAAAACTAGCCGGGCGAGGTGGCAGGCACCTGTAGTCCCAGCTACTCGGGAGGCTAAGGCAGGAGAATGGTGTAAACCCGGGAGGCGGAGCTTGCAATGAGCTGAGATCTGGCCACTGCACTCCAGCCTGGGCGACAGAGCAAGACTCCGTCTCAAAAAAAAAAAAAAAAAAAAAAAAAAAAAGAGTAAAAGCTGTGAACTATCTCCAGCTATGTCAGGCTGACTTACTTGACTGCTTTAAATCACACTAAACTTACTCTTTCTGAACTAATATGAGAGTACCGATCTTAACCATGGTAAAACCTCAACTAAAACAAACATAGGACTGTTCCATCCTGAATACTTTCCCAAATAACTGAAGTTTATCCAATTAAGGGCAAAATATCTTCATTTTGCTTCAAAGTAGAAATTGCTCAAAAAAGTACTATTCATTTCCTGTAGATTACACAGTGGAAAGAGCACCATTGAAAGTCAGTGAGACTTAGCTAGATTCATCTCTGGAGTATGGCTTTGGATAAACTACTTATCTCTAAGTCTGACTCTGTCTTCTGTAAGTGGACATACTACCTTCCTGCCTACTTCTTGGGATCCAATAAGATACTGTAGGTGAAATGGTTTGCAAATTCAAAAGTGTTTTGCACATTTAAGATACCATTGTTTCACCAGGGTGCACAGTGACTTACTCCTGTAATCTCAGCACTTTGGGAGATTGAGGCAGGAGGTCTGTTTGAGTCCACAAGTTCGAGGCTGCAGTGAACAGTGACTGAGCCACTGTACTCCAGCCTGGGCAAGATAGCAAGACCCTGTCTCTAAAAAAAAATTGTGGCCAGGTGCAGTGGCTCACGCCTGTAATCCCAGCACTTTGGAAGGTCGAGGTGGGTGGATCACAGTTCGAGACCAGCCTGGCCAATATGGTGAAACTCCGTCTCTACTAAAAATACAAAAAAATTAGCCAGGCGTGGTGGCACATGCCTGTAATCCCAGCTACTCAGGAGGCTGAGTCAGAAGAATTGCTTGAATCCGGGAGGTGGAGGTTGCAGTGAGCTGAGATTGCGCCACTGCACTCCAGCCTGGGTGACAGAGCGAGACTCCATCTCAAAAAAAAGAAAAAAAATGTTTTTGGCCAGGTGCGGTGGCTCACGCCTGTAATCTCAGAAGTTTGGGAGGCTGAAGTGGGTGGATCACAAGGTCAGGAGTTCAAGACCAGCCTGGCCAGGATGGTAGAAACCCCATCTCTACTAAAAATACAAAAATTAGCCAGGCATGGCAGTGGGTGCTTGAAATCCCAGCTAGTCAGGAGGCTGAGGCAGAGAATCTGCTGAACCTGGGACGCAGAGGTTGCAGTGAGCTGAGATCGTACCACTGCACTCCACCCTGGGCAACAGAGTGAGACTCTGTCTCAATTGAAAAAAAAAAAAAGAGAGAGAGAGAGAAAATAAAAGACCTCCCCAAGAATGAAGTAAATGAACATTATAACACGTGACTCCTATGTTACTACCATTTTCCCCTCATATCCTGGTTTTGGATATGTTTTGACTTTATTCTTTCAGCACATATTTATTGAGCACAGTATGTGCCAAGCACTATGCAGACACTAAAACATAATCTGAGCTCAGTGGGTAGACAGTTAATAAAATCACAAATTACAGATGGGTGCTATGGCTCATGCCTGTAATCCCAGCACTTTGGGAGGCCAAGATGGGCAGAGAGCTTGAGGCCAGGAGTTCGAGACCAGCCTGGTCAACATGGCGAAACCCTGTCTCTACTAAAAATTCAAAAATTAGCCAGGTGTGGTGGCGGTGTAATCCCAGCTATCAGGGAGGCTGAAGCAGGAGAATCACTTGAATGTGAAAGGCAGAGGCTGTAGTGAGCTGAAATCGTGTCACTGCACTCCAGCCTGGGCGACAGGGACAGAGCAAGACTCTGAGAAAGAAAGAAAAGACAGAGAGAAAGAGAGAGAGGGAGGGAGGGAGGGAGGGAGGAAGGAAGGAAGGAAGGAAGGAAGGAAGGAAGGAAGGGGAGTTTGAAACTGGAGAGGAAAACAGGTGAAGACTAGGTAGCAGAATTCTGAATCCAGAAGTTGTTATTGTATTTGCATCTTCTTATATTTTTATTCCCTTTATTCTTTTTCTTTTCGTTTCTTTTCTTTTCTTTTTTTTTTTTTTTTGGAGACACAGTCTCACTCTATCACCAGGCTGGAGTGCAGTGGCACTATCTCGGCTCACTACAACCTCTGCCTCCCTGGTTCAAGCGAATCTCCTGCCTCAGCTTCCCGAGTAGCTGGGACTACAGGTGCGTGCCACCATGCCCAGCTCATTTTTGTATTTTTAGTAGAGACAGGGTTTCACCAGGTTAGCCAGGATGGTCTTGATCTCCTGACCTCAGGTGATCCACCCACCTTGGCTTCTCAAAGTGTTGGGATTACAGGCGTGAGCCACCGTACCCAGCCGATACAGGGTTTCACCACGTTGACCAGTCTGGTCTCAAACTCCTGACCTCAGGTGATCCACCCGCCTTGGCTTCCCAAAGTGTTGGGATTACAGGCGAGAGCCACCACGCCCGGCCTGGAGCAACTTTTTTAAAGCTTGCTATGATCTGATCTTTTTCCTTCTTCACTTATCTCTCAAACAACCTACATTCCAGACATATATCACCACTTCCTGAGAATGTCCTGTATTATGTTTTTTTCCTGTATGTGCTTACGCCATCCCCATCATCTGGGACTTCTTCCCTATCTCTGGCTATTAAGTAGTTGAATCTATCTTTCCAAGCCCTATCATAATTAAGCTTTCAAAATTATTTAAGTCCCCATTAAAGTTAATGGCATTGTTTGACTAATATTACTGTTATTTACGCTTAAGGTTATCTCCCTGGCCAGATTCCCTGTAAGATTCTTGATGGCAAGTGTTTTTGTCTCATTCAACAACTGTGACTTCCAGCATGGGTGCAGTGGCTCACACCTGTAATCCCAACACTTTGGGAGGCCAAGGTGGGAGGATTGCTTGAGCCTAGAAGTTCAGCCTGGGCAACAGAGTGAGACCTTCCTCTCTACAAAAAAAAAAAAAAAGGAAGGCCTGGTGGTGTGCACCTCTGGTCCCAGCTACTAGGGAGGCTGAAGTAGGAAGATCTCTTGAGCTCAGGAGGTCAAGGCTGCAGTCAGCTGTGATGATGCCACTGCACTCCAGCCTGGGCAACAGAACGAGACCCTATCTCAAAAACAAAACAACAAACAAACAAAAAAAACTCAATTGTGACTGCTCCTCATTTTGTATCCCTTTAGCAGCTACAAAGCTCACCCTGCGGTGTGCAGTGGCTCACACCTGTAATCTCAGCACTCCGGGAGGCCAAGGTGGATCACCTGTCAGGAGTTTGAGAGCATTCTGGCCAACATGGTGAAACCCTGTCTCTACTAAAAATACAAAACAAGCCGGGCATGGTGGCACATGCCTGTAATCTCAGCTACTTGGGAGGTTGAGGCAGGAGAATCACTTGAACCTGGGAGGCACAGCTCGCAGTGAGCCGAGATCACGCCTTTGCACTCCACCCTGGGCTACAAGAGCAAAACTCCGTCTCAAAAAAAAAAAAAAAGCAACTCAGTAGGCTTGTTCCTCTGGGCTAGTGATTCAGTGCTGTGCTGGCACCTGCTGGTCACCTGTGGTGCAGCAGCCCTGGTCCCAGCACCTTCCTCCCTTCAGTATTAAGGGCTGTGACAGTCTGTGCCCTTACCTAGCAATCACTGGAATAATATATTAAATACTCGCCCCACAGCACCACCTTTCAATCTGCAGAACTTTTCCCACTAGCTTCCTACCCCAGAAATTTGGACTTTACATCCTTCCCAGTACTGCAGAAATATAAGGACAGGATCTCCAGGAACTGGGCAGCAAGAAAAGAAATAAGCAATGTGAGAGTAGAGGATGCAAATCCCTTTTCCCCCTTCAAAGAATCAAGACTGTTTCCAACAGAATTCCACTCTTTTTGACCTTTGTCTTATTTCTAGGTTGCTCTTGGGCCAGAGGCCTTCTTGGAGACAGTAGTGATGAACCGGAGGTTGAGCAGAGAGTAGGTAGGCGGGGCTCAAGGGGTGGGGCCAAGCCAAAGGGCTCTCACACTAAGTGAAGCTTCTCCATTCTGTAAGCTTTCCCGGAACATCCAAGGCAAGACTGGCACCCAGCACAGCAGGTGAGGGACCGGCAGTGACAGAATGGTAGACTTTAGGGGTAACGGTGGCAGAGGAGTCTCCAGCTCTTTCAGTCTTAGCTTTTCATATTGTGAAACTCTTGCTTATACAATTCTTGGGTCCTTTGTAGAGCTTAACTTAGTTTTTCTGGTGGCAAGGCAGCCTCTGAAAGACCTGGTTTTGGATGCAGTGGGGGCAGGGCTGAGGGATGCAGGTGGATCCATATCCGTATGGATGTGTGTGAAATGCAAGGAAGTCTTAGGAGACAAGGAGATGGACGGGTAAGGGCCAGAGGGAGAGTATGGCCAGGCCAGAGAGGATTATAGGGAGGACCCAGACAAGAGAAAAAGGGAGACTGAAACAGGGAGAGAGGGAGAGGACATCGGAACAAATGTGAGACGGCAATGGGGGCAATGGAGAGCTGGGTAACAGGAAGGCCAAGGAGGAAGGAAGGCTCACATGGAGCAATCTCCTCTTCCGGCTGGGGAACATGGTCCAGAAAGCCCCAAGGCAAGCTGGGAGCAAAGCAAGGTTCAGGTTTCCACTGGAAGGATTCAGCTGGGGAAGAAACCCCCTCAGTCCCTACCTCCCCTGCCTCTTCAGACTCCCATTTTGGTTTGGGGGAGAGGGCGAGGCTGCTCCTCACTGCGGTCACAGCCACATCCTGCAGAGCAGGGGAGGGGGAAGTAAGAAGCAAAACAACCAGAAGAACCACAGGCGAAGACCATGGGGAGAGAACCCTGGACACATGGAGCTGATATGCCGCCAAGAAGGTCCTGAGTTCAGTGCAGCAGAAGGCTCAGACCTTCAGGACTGCCTGCCCTTCTTGAGGTGCTGGTTTCTTGTGCTTCCTCAGTTGGCTTTAACCACACTGGGAGCATTCTGGGGAAGGAGGTTTCTCTGGATTATTTGGTTTGAAGCCCATCTTTATCATTTACTAGTGACTTTGGCCAAATTGCTAAATTTCTCTTAGCTTCAGTTTTCTCACTGCAAAATGGGAATACCTACCTTAACCTTATACAGGATTGGGAAGACTAAGATGACTGACATAAAGCACTTGGCACATAGTAGGTTCTCAGTAAATGTTAGTTATTACTCCTATTAGGATTCCTGGGATGCTTATGCTTCTTACTTTAAAGGAAGTACAGTGCAATAGCTGCCACTGGCTTTGGGGGCCAAAAAATGAGTTGTGTTTGATCTTGGGTAAATTATTTAATGTAAGTATCATTTGCTCAGCTGTAAAACAAGGATGGTAATACCTATACCACACAGACATATGGCACAGAGTCAGTGTCCAAAAATGGCAGCTGTAAGAATTCTGTCAGGCTGGGCGTGGTGGCTCACACCTATATTCCCAGCACTTGGGGAGGTCGAGGTGGGTGGATCACGAGGTCAGGAGATCAAGACCAGCCTGGCCAACATGGTGAAACCCCATCTCTACTAAAAAATACAAAAATTAGCCAGGCATGGTGGTGGGGGCCTGTAATCCCAACTACTTGGGAGGCTGAGGCAGGAGAATAGCTTGAACTTGGGAGGTGGAGGTTGCAGTGAACAGATATCACACCCCTGCACTCCAGCCTGAGTGACAAAGCAAGACTCCGTCTCAAAAAAAAGAATTATCTGTCAGGTAAGCCCTGTCTTCACTGCAGCAGCAACAGCCTACTTCCCCTTGAGAAGTAACTTGTGCTAGGCTAGCCTCCCGTGTGCCCACATTCCTCCAGCCGGAGCTATCGCCACTCCCATGGGCTGTTTTGGAGTCAAGATTTGCTACAGCACTAAGGGGAAAAAGCAGGAGAAAGGCATAGAGGACTGAGGGGCCTCAGGGGGCGGGGAGGATGACAAACAAAGATGATGATGACATGGAAACTAAAGAAGCAACAGAAAGGGGAAAAGTCATTTCTCTCTTTCTAAGGAAGCCTGTGGCCTTTCTTCTAGTGACTGACCACATACCCCACTCTCCAGGACCCATGGAGTCCTTCAGCTCAAAGAGTCTGGCACTGCAAGCAGAGAAGAAGCTACTGAGTAAGATGGCGGGTCGGTCTGTGGCTCATCTCTTCATAGATGAGACAAGCAGTGAGGTGCTAGATGAGCTCTACCGTGTGTCCAAGGAGTACACGCACAGCCGGCCCCAGGCCCAGCGCGTGATCAAGGACCTGATCAAAGTGGCTGTCAAGGTGGCTGTACTGCACCGCAATGGCTCCTTCGGCCCCAGTGAGCTGGCCCTGGCTACCCGCTTTCGCCAGAAGCTGCGGCAGGGTGCCATGACGGCACTTAGCTTTGGCGAGGTAGACTTCACCTTCGAGGCTGCTGTTCTGGCTGGCCTGCTGACCGAGTGCCGGGATGTGCTGCTGGAGTTGGTGGAACACCACCTCACGCCCAAGTCACATGGCCGCATCCGCCACGTGTTTGATCACTTCTCTGACCCAGGCCTGCTCACAGCCCTCTATGGGCCTGACTTCACTCAGCACCTTGGCAAGATCTGTGACGGGCTCAGGAAGCTGCTAGATGAAGGGAAGCTCTGAGAGCCCCGAGTCTAGCACATTCCACTTTGACAAAATGGCTGACTGAGAAAACACAGATAATGAGCTTCCTAACCCTGCTCAGCTGCCACTAACGCTTTTCAATCTTCAGGCTTCATTCCTTCCCAAGAGTGCTTTTGACTCTGAGACCAGCCCATCCCCACACAGCTGGTGGAGAAGGAGCAATGCTGAGGGGTGAGGCCTCTCTCCCACTCCAGCCCCAGGACAGGAAACAGAACTGCCTGAAAAAGGTGAAGTGAAACTTGGATCTCTATTTCTCCCATAAGGGACTTCTGAAACAGGGAAGCCCCCTCCCATGTGAACCAAGGAAAGGAGGCACAGCCCAGAGAACCCCTCTGGGGACACTAAAGACAGAAGAGGGGAAGGTGGCCCTTAGAAACAGAGCTTGGACAGATGCCAGAGGCTCTGTTCCAGAGTGCAGGAGGAGGGGGCTAGGGCAGGGGAGATTCTCATAGGGGAAATAAAACTACTAGAATATGCACAGGGCTCAATGTTTAATCTGTCCAGCTTCGTATACCTTATAGTCATCACAGAAGAAAGGAGGTATATAAACACCACTTCTCTCACCTTTCATCATTTCCAAACAGGAGACTGACGGAGATTTCCATTATTATTGAGGTTCCCTTACCTACTTCTGTTTGAGAAACAAACAAAACTGTACCATAGATCAGTGCTACAAATTGCAAATAAATATGCAGTGAGGAGGAGGGCATAGAGAGAGAGGGTCTAGAGGGTAGGGGGCGTAACAAAGAGACTCTCACAACTGGCTTCCTCTTCAAACCCCAAGGAAAGCCTCCTTCCATCTGTTCCCCTCATCACAGGCTGAGCAGAACAGGTCAGAAGGGTGAACTGGTAGAATGGAGGGTTCAGGTCCCTACAGTGCTGCTTTTTCTCAGGGTCAAGAATTGTGAAAAAGTTACAGGGAATTGGTTAGTAAAGACTGAGCCCATTCAACAGGAATGGGGTACCAAAAAAAAAAAAAAAAAAAAAACTCAGTTCAAATCTGTCCCTTTAAGATTGGAGAAAAGGCCAGCAGTCATCCATTCTCTGCGGTAGGCTAGGTCACCGATTGCCTCATCCTCAATCACATGTCTGGCCAACAAGGTGGGGAAGGTGGAGAACCAGCACTCATTGGCTCACTGTTCCCGGGTTCTCTCACCCCAGGGCTATAGAAATTCCATTTTTTAGCTAAGAGTGGGAAGGAATAAAATATAGCAAATAAATATTACTTCAATATTAGCACCAAATAAATTATGTCACACAGTTGGAGATGAGGAAGAAGCTGAGGGGGAGTCTCTGCTTCCCTGTTCTAAGGCCAGGGAATGGTAAAAAGGATAGGAAAGGCAACAGGGATATAAAAAGAGCCTTTTGAGTCTAAAGGACTCAACTCTAGATTCAGCCCAAGAACTGGGAAAGGTCCAGTTCCCATTCCCTAATCTTGCCAATAAAACTGCCCCAGGCCAAGGAATTTTTGGCGGACAAGGAGGCTGGGGAAGATGGCTGGAGTGGAGGGAGGCAGGCTGGTAAGCCATGTTCTTGAGCCTCACCTCAGGCTCCTCTCCCCCTGAAGTTTCTCCTTCAACATCTTGCTTCTCTCAGTCAGTTCTGGGGACATCAGAGTTTGAAGATTTCATCCTCCTGGTCCCGTAGTGTCCGGGTCCGAGAGGTACGGGTCAGCGGCACGGGACCTAGGACTGCTCGTTGCTGCATCCGAGGGGAGCTCAGGTGGAGACCTGCATCCTCCCCAGGTACCCTGCAAGTGAGGAAAGGGGGGAAAGAGTGACAGATCAAGGGAAGAACCTCACAATGGGCTAAGTGAGAGGTACATGGAAAGCTGTCTTCTAATACATAAGCTGGTTGCTTCAAGACAGTCTCAATACCTTCTAGATAAATCCTAACCCTAATGCTCCTTCATGGATGACCAGAGCAGTAAAAACAGTTAACTGTCGGCTGGGCATGGTGGCTCACGCCTGTAATCTCAGCACTTTGCGAGGCTGAGGCGGGCAGATCATGAGGTCAGGAGATCGAGATCATCCTGGCTAACACAATGAAACCCCGTCTCTACTAAAAATACAAAAAATCAGCCAGGCGTGGTGGTGGGTGCCTTTAGTCCCAGCTACTTGGGAGGCTGAGGCAGGAGAATGGCATGAACCCGGGAGGCGGAGCTTGTGCCACTGCACTTTAGCCTGGGCAACATAGTGAGACCCCGTCTCAAAAAAAGTCAACTGTCTGACTCCAATAAGAACACAGAACCCAGTTTTCCACTGCCTCTACCTGTGTCAGCAGGCATCGTCTCTGCTCATTGCTTTGGGGCCACATGGGGGAAAGGTATCACCTTGCCTCTGTTGGCACTGTGCTTACTTACTTGTGTTTGTGGTTAGGTAAGATAGGAAGAATGGAGGAGTCTAGGGAGGAACTTATAAGGAACCATTCAACACTCACCCACTTTCCCCTTTTTTCAGCTTCTGGGCAGCAGCCTTCTTGGACAGGCTGATCTGTGAATCAAGCTTCTTAAGGAAATCAGAGGCAGAGAGGTCATGGATGGGCGTGGGGGTTTCCTGGCCAGGTGTGGGGAAGACTTCACCATTGGCACGTCCTGCTCCTGTCTCTTGTTTCTTCCTCTCAGTTGAGTGTGGCCAAACTTCATCGTTACTTGGGCGTACTTCTTCCTCTCCATCTTTTTCTTCCTCAGAATCCAAACCATTGAACAGGTCTCTGGGCTCTGTCAGGATGGGGATGTAGAGGGTTTTCTTCAGGAAGATGGAGTCATTAGTGTAAAGGCGGTTTGCACGTTTAATCTGTTCCATCTTAAAAAAAAAAAAAAAAAGAGTCAACAAAATTCAGGACAGTAATAATGATCAATCTTACATTGCATCTCAAGCTTTTTAAAGTGACTGCACAGAGTCTTCTTTGATTCCATAACAACCAAGCTAAAGTACAAAGGGCAGGCTGGGCGCGGTGGCTCAAGCCTGTAATCCCAGCACTTTGGGAGGCCGAGGCGGGCGGATCACAAGGTCAGGAGATCGAGACCACAGTGAAACCCCGTCTCTACTAAAAATACAAAAAATTAGCCGGGCGCGGTGGCGGGCGCCTGTAGTCCCAGCTACTCAGGAGGCTGAGGCAGGAGAATGGCGGGAACCCGGGAGGCGGAGCTTGCAGTGAGCCGAGATCGCGCCACTGCACTCCAGCCTGGGCAACAGCGTGAGACTCCGTCTCAAAAAAAATAAAATAAAATAAAAAATAATAAAGTACAAAGGGCTGACATTATTTCTACTTTATAGATGAGTGGTTTTCACACTTTTTGGTCTTAGGGCCCCCTTACATTTTAAAAACTTATTGTGCAAGCTGGGCACAATGTCTGATGCCTGTAATTCCAGCTACTCAAGAGGCTGAGGCGGGAGGACAGCTTGAGCCCAGGAATTAGAGTCCAGCCTGAGCAATATAGTGAGACCCCATTTCTAAAAATAAAAAAATAAAATAAAAATAAATGAATAAATAAATAAAAATGAAGGAACTGAGGCTCAGAGAGGTTAAGCTACTTGCCTGAAACTATCTATCAAGTTAATGACACAGCTAGAACGACAATCCTGGGTCTTTTCACTGCTTCTGGGAAAGGTTTTCACACTATACTATTAACAATGTCAGTAATAAATATTTATTTTGACCTATCTATTCATCACTGGACCTAGTGACTGGCATCACCATCTATTTGCCTGGCCTTCCAAGGTAAAAACATCAATGTCATCCTTAACTAATACTTGCCTTTCATCACCATACCAAGTGGTCAACAAAACTGCTTCAAAAATCTCTCTCACATCTGGTCTCATCTTCAGGCCTATTGCCAAAGATTTAAAATAGACCCAAAGTATTTCTCATCTGGGGTTATTACAACAGTTTAACTGGCCTTCCTCGCTCTATTTCTACTCATCCTCCTCTTGGCATCTATCTTTCTAAAAAAATAAATCTGATTAACCCACTACCCTGCTTATAAACCTCCTATGGGGTCCTCATTGGCTAAAGATAAAAACCAAATTAGCATTCAAGGGCTTTCTCAATCCAGCTCCCAAAGGAAATGTCTAGATTAATCTCCCTTTGCCACCTCTACATTTTGCTATCCTGAACTTTTTATTTTTCTTTGAACATTCCATGATCTTTTTCACACTTTATTCATGCTGTTACTTCTGCCTGAAATGCTCCTGCCCCTCTACTATCCCATTCTCTGCTTGGAAAACTTCTATTCATCAACCACCACTCCCTTTGTGTTACCTTCTTCAGGACTCCTAATGCATACTGTAAATATTGCTATAATCATACATAACCCTACTATAATATTATTCACCTCTTTAAATATTTGCTTTGCCTAAACCCTATGAGTCCTTTAAGGGCAAGGATTGTGACTTGCTGTCTCTGTATCCCCAGGCAGTCGTTAGCATCCTACAGACTTTGACACATAGCAGGGGCTCATTAATGCTTTATTTAAAAATTATTAATTATAATTATCTAATTATTATAATAATTAGATAATGAAATATAGAAACTACAGATATAGTATATTCGTATTTTTTTTCTTCTTCTTTTTTTTTTTTTTTGGAGACAAGGTCTCACTCTGTTGCCCAGCCTGGAGTGTAATGGCACAATCTCAGTTCACTGCAACCTCCGCCTCCCAGGCTCAAGTGATCCTCTGCCTCAGCCTCCCCAGTAGTTGGGATTACAGGCACATGCCATCACACCCAGCTAATTTTTGTATTTGTTGTAGAGATGGGGTTTCACCACATTGCCCAGGCTGGTCCTATACTCCTGAGCTCAAGCAATCCACTCGCCTCAGCCTCCCAAAGTGCCGGGATTACAGCACAGGCATGAGCCACCACGCCTGGCCCACCCCAGCCCCTTTCCAACTAAAATTTAATCTTTCTGATTTCCTATCCGTTTTTTTATTTTGAGACAGAGTCTCGCTCTGTTGCCCAGGCTGGAGTGCTGGAGTGCAGTGGTGCGATCTCAGCTCATCACAACCTTCACCTCCCAGCTTCAAGCAATTCTTCTGCCTCAGCCTCCTGAGTAGCTGGGATTTCAGGCGAGCACCACCACGCCCGGCTAATTTTTGTATTTTTAGTTGAGACAGTGTTTTGCCACGTTAGCCAGACTGGTCTCGTACTCATAACCTTAGGTGATCCACTTGCCTCAGCCTCCCAAAATGCTAGGATTACAGGGGTGAGCCACCATGCCTGGCCCTGATTCTTTGTTAATACCTTTACAAATTCACCACGTTCTGTCATTTGTAATCATTATTTGTGTACCTGTTTATTTCTCATTAGGCCATAAATTACATGAGGACAGCAACCATATAGTTTAAGTTTCTGTCTCCCAGAAAAGTTATCACAGTGCTTTAAATGTTGGCTAAAGCATAAAAATGTTGGCTAAATTCAACATTTGCTTGAGTGAGATGGAACAAGAAAACAGGGGTGGGGGTAGGGGGAGTAAC